CATGTATCTATACTGATATGTATGTATAGTCACTGTTGTCCAGAGAGTCTGGTTTGATGTGAATATGTATTCAAGGGAGCTTGTGATCTCAAGCCATTGAAGCTCAATGTGTGACTGTTTGACGGAGATGGACGATCAGGGGAGGAGAAGCTGAGAGACGAAGAAGAAGAAAGTGGATAGTTTTGTAATTGATTAAGATAGTTTGGTCTTGTGAGGTCAAGTGTTACTGTGGGGTGGGAGTTAGTGGTTGAGACCGAGAAGTGGTGAAAAGGAAAGAAATTGTTTAGACTCGCGGAGGAAGAGGAGCCAGATTGTAATAAGGAGGCCGCAGCAGAAGTTCCGGCAGCCATGTGAGTTGCTTCCATGGGAAGAGGATGGTCGTGATTTCCTTCGTACGTCGTCATATAATCAGAGTTCTCATCTTCTCCGCATCTTTGGACCTACATAAATAAATTCTTACGTAAATCACATTCTTTTATACCATAATTAGACTTATAGAAGAGTCATATTTTTGTCATTTAACACATATATACAGTAGTCAACCATGATTGAAATCGTAATAGGGAAGATCGTTTGGTCCCTCAATTTTTTTATGAACCCTTCAAGGCTTCACAATATGTTGTTCTACATAAATCACTTTTCCACCAAATTAATATTCATCATGGTATTAGTTACCGCAAAATTTTAAAACGGAAACAAAGATTTGATGAGTTAAAAAGATTTCGGATTTTACCAAGAAAATAAACTTTAAATCTTGGATTGTGAAATTGTAGAATGAATTGTACCTGTTTTCTGACGGGACAATTTGTTGACATGGAGCAACGGTAATAGGCTCGTGGAAGAGGATTCGTTTTTGCAGTCTTTTGACCGTATTTCCTCCATTGGCAACCATCGTTTATCTATACATTCACGTAACATCATCGTTAGCAAAATGTTACATGTTACATGTAAGATAAATATATGTAATGCATTGTTATGTGCTTTGGTACGTACTAATGGGTCTTCACATGTAGCTTTAACACAAACTCTAGTTTTCTTTAAACTTGGTTGCTCATGCGTCTCCAAAACCTCTTGTTGGTTTTCATTTCTAGCCGTTTTGACATCTTTCCTCGAAGATACACATTTATTCACCGCATTTGCTTCCTTAACACCTCTAGATATATAATCTAACTTCATGGTTTCGTCAATATTCGGTCGATCTTTGAAACTTTGAATCCGAAAATCTAAACCGAATGCAGATCTTTTCTTCTCTGACCCTTCCTTGTTACGTTCAGAAATCTTTTCCAAACTCGTCTTCTTTGGCACTTCGTCTTTTTGGTATATTTTCAGCTCTGGTCTTCCAAGCCTAAGAGATATATCTACACCGAAATCGTCGTGACGATTAATGTCTAGCTCCACAGAAGCTCCACGTTGTTGTTGGAGAACTTTGGAGACATGCATTTGAAGAGAGTTGTAATCAGTAAGAATCGTAGACAGTAAGAGCTTTAACTTCAAGTTTTCTTCTCTGACTTTCTCCACCTTTGCTTTTGTTACATCAAGCTCCTCTTCCTGTAAATATATCCAGACACATTTATATTCACCTTCTTCATTAAATGTGTTTACACTTCACCTAATGTCTAAATAAATCCAGTTTTTTTCAAACGTTACGAAAATTAGTTTTCCATAACCCAACACAAAAAGTTTAACCGTAATGTAGTGATGAACAAAGATAGAATCCCCAGAAAAAATAATAAATTTGTTTCCAATCTATATTAGAGAAATCCCAATTACCGGTACAAATCTGGATACGTATCTTTGGGTATTCATAACCGACCCGAATTCATTAAGAAAAAAACATGTATTAATTTTATTGTGGTTTATATTTAGGGATGCAAACCACGAAAATAGAATATGAAATATTTCTTCATACAAGACACCCTTACAAAAAAAAAAAAAAGTAATCAAAAATGAAAATTTTGATACTCGAGACCATTTCCAAAACAAGAAGATTTTTATAAGATGCAGTGAAGATTACTAATTTCACAAACGCAATTATTCATTGCTTTCAAATGTAAATATGCATATGAACATGAGAGTATCTAAAAGTTCACCGATTGAAAACAACAATAAACAAATTAATTAGAGAAATCTGTGGTTTAAAACCATTAAATCAAGAATTAGTTTGTCTTTTTACCTTATCAGATTCTGCCATAACACCATCAGAAGGATTGACACATGAACTGATCTCCTCTTTAAACATGTTATATATTATGATTCAGATGCGATCTTGAGATTAGTTGGATCTACTCTTTTTGTGGTTCTTCTCTGCAAGAAACAAGGATTATGTATATTTTTTTTTCAAAAGTATTAATTAAACTTTGTTAAAAAGAGCCAAAGCCCACAGAGTCTGACTTTTTTAATTTAATAAGAGGAAATACAAACTGAAAACATAGTTTTTTATTGGTGATCATCACCATGTTACCAGCTCTGTTTGGAATATTTCTCAACTCTGTCTCGATTCTTGAATAATCCTGCCGACGACTCAGCATTATATGATATGATAATGTCTACCATCATATTATAATTGTGCTCGTATCATAAAAATAATCAAATTGTATTGCAATCCAAATGAATCTGCTATGGCATTACTTTGGAATATTTCAGTATTTTATAAATGTGCTTCATAACTAAAGCAATGCACATCTCAATATTTTATAATTTTGCATCATAAACAAAGCAAACCCGTCCAAAACTTTCCAAATACTCAATTTCACAAATTCGTGAAATTTATAATTATCTTTATAGATTGATGAAAGTAAAAACACGAAAAGTTTCAAAAAAAACAAAAAACAATCCACATATATCTTCTTCTTTGCTCTTGTTTTTTATAGGGGCAATTACAAAAATGCCACTAATTATAGATTTATAAAGCCTATATCTTAAAATTATAAACCCTAAAAAATGTTTTGACACCTAAAACCCCCTAAACACTCAAAACTAAACCCTAATAGAGTATAATTAACCCAAACATAAATAATATAAAGAAAAAATAATTTTGAAAAAGTGGCATTTTTGTAAGGATTTCAAAAGTGTGGCATTTTTTAAAGTGACACTTGAAAAGTGGCATTTTTTGAAATTTCTCTTTTTTT